AGGAATGCAGGCTAAAGTGCTTCAGGATGGATTTGGACATCAATTCCCACTAAAGTTAATATGAATGAAGTGTCCAGATTCTTGCACAAGCTTTTGAAGTCTCGTCTGCAGCCTCTTAGTGGTGCACAAGCTAAAAGAGCCTCTTTTTAAAGGCATTTCTCTGTGATCGATGGGGTAAGAGTTGCTGTGACTCTGTTGGAGGGAGTTCGGATCCAGAGCAGGACTGCTCTACATTCCTGCCGGTGATTTCTCAGGAGGAAAACAGGGGAAGAGGAGTGGAGAAACAGTCAGTCAGAGAAGGGATGGATCGCTCTGTGGATGGCTCTCCCCTACGCTTAAACAAAAGTGGCAATTCAGTTTTTCACCAGCAGCTGTTGTGATGGGGAAGAGAGGAGAAGGAGCTGAAACTGAAGTAGCATTGGAAGCTTCTGCAAAGTTGAAAACTGGAGTTGCCAAATGCTTGTGAATATAGCAGGCTGGCTGAGGGAGGTGGTCACTTTCCCTTCCGAGGCACTGTGCCAGTTATATTCTAGGATCAGCTGTCTGAATAGGCTTAGATTTAAGCTCCACAATGCGTAGCTTAAATGCTGTGGAGCATAAATCAGTAATTTGTTTTGTTTAGTTATTCTGGTATTCCAGAACCAACTGGTGGTATTTTACCAAATTCCTTGAGCAGGTGGGAACATCCCATCCTAACACAGCCACAGCTGAGGAATTAGCCATCTCCCTGACCATTTTAACAGGAACCATGGATTGTATACTCCGCACCATCCCTTTTGTGAGGCAGAGACTTTCTAAATTAATAGTTGAATTGTTCTAGCAAGACAAAATGAGAAGCTCAGGCTCCTTTTCCTTTTTGCTTGATCTTTACGTATCTGATTTCAGGCTATAAGATAAGTGAATCCAAATGTCTGCAACAGAAAAATTTGAGAGGTAATTTATATTGACCAGTATTTGGTAGTGGAGGAAGAATTTGCATTTACTGTCCTCTTATTAAGGGTTCTGTTAGCAACAGCTAAGAGAAATGGCTACAAAAAGCCTCTTTTTCTGACTCAAAAAATAGCCAAGGTGGGAGTAATATTGGTTCTTTGGTCTTAAATGCTAGCATTTGTTGTCTTCGTGTTTGATTCCCTCCTCCATATACCGGTTCCTGTGTAACACATTCAAAGCAATAAATACCTGGAATCAGGTGATCGTATAGTATTATGTTTTGTCTTATAGTATTGTATAGAATTAGGCCCCTGTTAGCGTTGGTCTTACACAGGGAATGAGAGAGGTGAAGTAATAAATGCATCACTCATTCACTGATAAGAACCACATCTGTTAAAAATTCTGAATACAGAACACATGCTCACACAAACACGGAGTAAACAGCAGTGTATTTTGGCTCACTTCAATAAAGGGTACACAAAGGCTCTGGAGATTTATCCTGTTTATAGAAGCAGTTGCTGACCCTGTAAATCAAGTCTACCACTTTAAAGGGAAGCATAACCGTTTGGGATTTAAAAAAAACACAGCTCTCCTCAGTCTCGGTTCAGTGCTTTACCATCCTCTATCTCTTAAGCTTTCAGTCAATAACGGTTCTTTCTGAGAAAGATGCTCCGAAAGTTGCTTCAGGTTTCCAGAAATCAGTCTCATTTTGAAAATACTGGTTGGCCAAATGCCAGGCATTGGTTTTGGCACGGACTTGGTACAGGTTGGAGATCTGAACATGACACAGCAATGACTGTTGCGCTTATACAGCCCATCTCATCTGTAGATATAAAAGACCTGTACAAATCATGACAAAGCTAGTCCCCTTAATGATGGGGACAGACTTTTTAGTAGGGCCTGTAGTGGCAGGACAAGGGGTAACGGTTGTAAACTAAAAGAGGGGAGATTCAGACTAGATGAAAGGAAGAAATTTTTCACACTGAGGGTGGTGAACCCCTGGCCCAGGTCACCCAGAGAGGTGGTGGATGCCCCATCCCTGGAAACACCCCAGGTCAGGCTGGACGGGGCTGTGAGCAACCTGCTCTGGGTGAAGATGTCCCTGCTCACTGCAGGGCTGGGACTAGAGGCCTCTAACGGTCCCTTCCCACCCAAACCCTGCTGTGATTCTATGATTTGTGAAATTTTGTTGGACTCGTATTACAAGTTCAGCTCCATATATTTTTGATTGCGTAATTAGAAAAGTCTTTGCTCTAGTCACTAAAATCTACCAGCTGCTTTATCACTGGAGTGAATAGAATGTCTCTAAACTCGTTTTTGTAGCCTTTCTCCCCTGCTATTCTCACCTAGCTGTGAGAATCAGAGATCGTGACCTAAGGCATGGAGCTTTGGTAGACTTACAATAAAAGATCTCCCAAGATTGAAAAAAAGGTGAAAAAAAAATCATCACACCTCAGGAAATGTTGCTGAAAATTCAACATGTGTCCCTTTTCCCTCCTGAGTTAGCACCCCAGTTAGAAGCAGTGCACCCCAGCATTATGCTAGATGGTTAGTTTAAATAAAAAAATAATTAAAAAGAACAACACACACAAAACCAAAGGTCCTGAAAATTGGATTAGAAATCCCGTGTCTCTCTACAAAGTAATAAGAAGGGATTTGAAGCTGCCATAATGCTTTGAAGAGAATACAGCTTTTATGTTTATAAACAGCAAACATTTGTATAGGTATAGCAGTGAAATAAATAGGCTGTTGAGAATGCTTTTGCACATTGAGTGCTGCTCTCACATCTTAGCAAAGATTTGAATGCTACTGTACACAAATATATATAATCCTAAGGCTTTGAAACAGGATGCTGGAAGAAGAGTTTGTGATTTTCAGAAATGTGTTACATAAATGCTAGCTGTAGAACTATCTCTCACTTAGCTATCTGCTGGTCCCTGACAAAGTTTTGCCCTGGAATGTCACATATCCCATTTAATATTTGAAGTAGAAATTTTCCCCTTCTAACAGTTTACCCAGTTGAAACCACTTTTGCAACTTCAGTTTTGAGGCTTTTGGCTTCCCTCAAAAACAGAAGAGAAAAACTTCATGGGGCCATTTCCTACCCGTTCTTTTAAATGCCAATATTTTATGGGATCAAATTTGTTTTGCCCATTGTCTGCTAAACTGCAGTTTTTATTACTGAAGCTAAGTTTAACTTCTAAATATTGCACTCCAGATGTATTAATCAGAAATCTTCACCAGTCTTAATTGCAGAATGTTTTCAAGATTCAGTGCATATTAACTGCCAGAGCAGTTATTGCATGTTTTTTCCAGATTTCCCTCTTGAAGATTAAAGAGGAATTTGCTATTACTAGTAAGCTGCAGTAAGTGTAGTGCCCTAGCAACTTCCTCCATGGTCCAAGGATCCACATGGAGTTAATGGGCTGTGTCCACCTACAGTTTCCATCTTACATCAAACCCCAATCCCATTCCATTCCAGCCATCCAGGTATTGAGCAGCAGTTCTAGACAAGACATGCTGGAAGTCAAATGCAAAATCACACAAAATATTTGCTATTAGGGACTTGTAGGAGACCAAGCTCAAGGAAGCAAAGGAGAAAGAGAGAAATACTGCACCTGTGTGCAGCCAGCTTTCTTTTACTGAAAGGGTACTGAGGGTAGGTTTGTACATTGTCTGTTCTAGAACCAAAGCATATCTTTAGATGGTGACAGCTAGCTGAGTAGGGTGGATGCTTTTGTTCAGTGATGCTAAATTCAATTAAGAACCTAATTGTGTAATAATCTTAAGTTCTGAAGTGCTTTGTGGTGCATAAGTTGTTAAGAGTCTTGAAGCAGCATCAGAATTCTCAGCTTTCTGTTCATTTCCAGGTAGGCACACTGGAGTTAGATCTAGAGGAGCATCCTGAGTGGCAGAGTTTTCTGCTAGAAAGGCACGATGCACACATCGTGTTATGACATGTAGTGAAGAGCATGCTGTTTGCTAATTAGTCGTGTCATCTGGGGTTCCACAGCACAACAGCTGTAGAAATATGTTGCTGAACCCTGCACATGTGAATTCTGTATTTTGAGCAATGTTGTCATGCCTGGCAGCAGACAGCAAAGTATGGAGACATCTTTGATAAACAGTCCCACCTCCTTTAAAAAATGGATGACAATGGAAGTACCGTTCCCCTCTTTCACACTGTTTATTTCCATGTATGTTCTTAGTTGTTCAGTGTGTGATTCCATTGTGTTAAATTGCATACTTTTTAAGAAAACTGTATTTACAGTTGTTTTCAGGCTGGGGATGGAAGCATATACCTGCCGAGAAAATTCTTGCAAAATACTGCATGAAAGCGCTTAGCAGACTAGTCTATTACATTGCTTTTTAAGTTGAACCTTGCTTTGCAAATTAGAAAACAATGGCGGGACAAATAAAGCAAAATTCTTCTTCAGAAAGTGCCATGATAAATAAACTGCCCCATCTTAGTAAAGACATCTGTTCCACGTACATAGCTGGTTATGCTCTGTTTGCCAGCTCTAGTGACAGGTACTTATTGCTCTCAGTTCACTGTTATTACTAGTTTCAGCGATAGTTAAGGAAGGGCAAGTCAGTCTGTTCTTTCATGTTTTTTCAGAAGACCTGACTTTGTGCGAACCCGTTTTACCAATGAAACTCGTAGCAACATACTGCTGAAGGCAAAGTTGCCTGGTACTACTGTGATGCAAGAAAACCAGGTTAAACATCAGTGCCCAGAGCTCTTGGTAGACATGGCAAGTAGGAAGAAGTAACTTATTTTGAATTTGGCAGCTGAACACTCTGTCCACTCCAGGAAACTCTTAAGCAGGGAGTGGTTGCAGAGTTTGCTCTCCGTTACCATCCTGCTGGTACCAAAGAAATGAGAGTGAGGACTTGGAGGCACCTGGCCCCATGCTCTGACTTCCTTTTCATAACATTTAGGACAGTCATGACGAAATTTGTTGGAAAATCTAGAGGATATGCAGGAAGAGACTCTGTGATGAGTTAGAAATAAACTGTAGAATATTTATAATCTCATGTAAATAAACACACTGAACTACAGAGCACAGAGACATGAAAAGTTTGTAATGTCTGGATTTTTGTTTATATTTTAGCTCATTCAGACAAACAAATTGAAACATTATCCCAGCATCCATGGAGACTTCAGCAATGACTTCAAGCAGCCATGTGTTGTGTTCACTGGACATCCCTCTCTTAGATTTGGAGATGTGGTTCACTTCATGGAGTTATGGGGAAAATCTAGCTTGAACACTGTTATATTCACAGGTAAGTAAAATGCAGATATCAGTATCAAATTAACAACAGGTTGTGCACTCTGGTTAAGTGTGGCCACATCCTAGGGACTTTACTCATTTGTTCTGGGGCAGAAGTTTCTGACTTCAGTAGGAGCTCATCTAAATTAAGACCCCAGGATTGACTGCAGGGACAAATGTAATTATTGTGCCATTTAATTCATTTTAGTCCTGCAGAGCCAACCTTTGCCATGCACAGTCCGTTCCTGCCATTTCTAAGCAAAATCTTTGTTATGCACAGCAGTAAAATGCCTACAGGAAATTAATTTTTGGATTAAAAGCAGCTGGCTGCAAGTTAAACCCAGGCAAGACCTAATTGATGCTGGCCAGAAAGGAGAAATACTTCTTCTCCATATTCCACTGGAATCACAAACCTTTCCTCATCCCTTCTGCCCTTTCGTCAAAACCTCAGGCAACCAGACAGTCTGTTTCTAAAGATGTTTCTGTCATCTCTGCTGTTTCAGAAGTATGCACCCCAAACAGACCTGGCAGTAGTGATCTATGCCATTGCTGCTTCTTGACTGAGCTTTTTTCCCAGACGCTTTTTGGTTGACAGACATTTGTATCTGAAGCTGAAGGTACAGCTCTGGCTAATACCCTGGGGAGCTGTTTCCTTTCTCAGTGACTCAGACTGCCCAGGAGCACAACAGGTCTTTTAAGTTCCTTCACTTCTCCCAGTCTGCCTCTAGTGCTGACCCTACTTATAATGGATTTAATGAATCAAGCCCTCTCCACCTCAGAATGAGCTGTGGTCTGAGACCCACGGGGCAGCTGCATCCTGGGACCATGCCAATCATTAACAGCAAGACAAAGGATTTAAGAGAGAACATGAATCTTTTGTGAAATCTAGCAAAGGGGATTTCTTCCAGAGTTTGATTTCCTTTTAAAATACTTCAAGGCCTTCCCTCCAACTGACGTTCTGTCCAGGTGCCTCGTCTTTATACCTGAGGTGTCATCCAAACAGAACCCTACAGTGAGCACTCTTCAGATCTGGGAAGGGAAATAATCCTTTAGGCCATTGCTACTGATTTTATCTATAATGAACTCTGGTATAATTGGGAGATGTGTTATATATAACAGCCAGATAAAAAAGATGTAGATTTTGAACTAGGACAAAGTGATTAGAAATGGGGAGGAGAATACTGAATAATTGAGCAGACCTACTCCCATAGGAAAGGTGTGATGAAGTCCCACTGTTAAGCTTATTTTCCTCCTCTTTTTAGTGAATAGGACTGCTGGAAAGCACATAACCTCCTAAAGCAAAGAGGATTGGGAAAGGCTTATTTCCTTCCATCTTTTTTTTTTTAGCTGCAAACTTAAGGCTACTGATGAGCAAGTCCCTTTGACTCTTTCACAATATTGGTACCAAAAAGTGTCATGGTATCATGATACCATTAAACTAATTCGGAAAGATTTGAAGAAGTGTGTAATTAGCCCTATTGCAAGGGGAGGGGAGATACAAGAGCGTTCCTGCTCCTGCTGAGCAGATAAGACACTTAAATCTAAACTGTGTTTATGCTGGGAAGTGGTGCATGGTATCACAGCACTAACGTCATAGCTGCTACAGTACCCATCACTCCTGACCTTTAAGATAGTCTCAGCAGCTATGCCCTAATTACAGTAATTGGTAAAATTGCGATATAGATATGCATTATCTTGGCAATAGTGAATTCTGCTCCAGTTGGGACTTAAATTAAAACCAGCATGTATACACCCTCTGCTGGGTTGTGCAGAGGAAATCAGTGGCGTTAATCATGTTCTGAATGTGCTACCCACCATCAGCAAGGGTGTCAGAAACTGGCCTTTAATGGCGAGAACTCTTTACACTGTGCCTTCTTGTAGGGAGAGGCAATTGACCTTTCGGTATTAAAATGTAATCCTTCTGTGAAGTGAGGAAAAAGAGCAATCTTCTATTAGAGCATGGCCCTGGCAAGTTGTTAAGGCACCTGAATGATGGTCATAACAACCTGTGGATACATTAGGTCATGATCTTTGAGATTCATTCCCAGTTTATACTTCAAATGAAGCTATGAAACTCCAGTTGAGATCTTCTTCAGTTGTAGTGACCTTGGAGTGCACAGTGATTCCAGGCGCTTGTGGCAGTTTGTTTCCTAAATTTGTCTATCCGTAGCTTTTGGACTGCGATTTCTGTCTGTGTCTGTAGGCATATCCACTCAGCAGGACATTCCTACTTCCTTATGACTGTCTCAGCTGGAACAAAGACATCTTTGTCTACAGAAATTCCTAGTGGATTAAATTCTTCCGTTCTTAGTAACTCCAGTGCAAATCTGAAGCACCTCCACTGATGCCCAGGATTTTTATTATTTAATTATCTAGCTTCTCCTGTTTTGAGATAAAATCTCCTGTAGTTATGAAAGAAATTTGGTCCATTGAAACAAAGTATGTGATAGCAGATGATGTTCTAGCTTTTCCTGTGAAAGACTCCTAGTTTCTAGTAATTAGGACCTTTAGACTGCAGACTGCGCAGTCTTGTTAATGATGACACTGCTTGCTCAGTCCACAGGAGCTAGGTAGTCTCCACCTTTCCTATTTGTAATGTAAAAAAAAACTACAAGAGAATATAGACTAAAACAGCGGCTGCAGCCAACAGACAGGACCCCAGCTGTGAGTGAGCTGTAGTGCTGCTCTGCTTGCTTGTGTCGTCTGCCAATGTTACCGCTGAAGCAAGTATTGAATAGAGTATTGATTAAAAATATTGAATACCACTAAGCTACAAAGAGATTGTAGAAGAAAACTTCTTGCTCTCTTTCTGATAGCAACAACGCTTTAAAAACTAACTCCCTAGGAGATCTTAAAAACAGCTCATGCATGCCATGTTAGTGCAGTACGGTAGAGGATTTTATAACTCAGTGTCACACAGTAGTAAATCAGATGTCTTGGGGGAAAAGCTGAAGACCTGTAATTCTGTCAGAAAAAGTCAATATGTGTCCTTGACTGTCACTGTCTTCCATCAGATGGGTGGCTTCTGGTTTTTTAGTAGTTTCAAAACAGCTATTCCTGTATGTCCCATGCGTTCACTGTGAGACTAGCTCAAGTTATGTTTTTCACATGTTCGAAACCTTCAAAGTCCTCTGTTAGAATTCTTTCATTAGGATTTCTCACTTTTGCAAGGCTACTTACATTCTTACTAGTTATTCAGAGAGACAATAGACTGGATGCCATTTTGGATTCTTAGATCAAAAAATCCACATCTGTAGATTATCTGAGCCTACTGATTCAAAAATACGTAGTCTGAATAGGTGCTGCCTCATGGCATTCTCAGGTACAAGCAGTCAAACTTCTGTGTCTCGTCCACAACACCAGATGGGATGGAAAAGCTCTCTGCTGATAACTTTTTAAACTTACTATTTGCAATTTCATTGTACATCTCTAGCAGACAACCTGTGCCTGACTTAAGTTTTCTGCTTTTCCCCAATGAGTTTTAAAATGTCTTCTGATTTAACCCTAATTGACCACTGATCATTCTTTAACTAGCTACCTTCTCAGTATTCTTCAACTTCTATTCATTGCTATTAAACTTAACTGCCATTAATTCCCATTTTTTACATTGATATTTTTAGGCTTTGTTTCATTGCCACTAACACATCTGCTTTTAACTAGCATGGCTTTTTGCCCAGTATAATTTTTATTTCATGTTTGTGGCTTTTTGGGCATCTAGTAAGATGTTCTTGTACAACTATCATTTTTTGTTAATATTTCTCACTTTGATGTTCCCAGGCAGTTATTCTGACAACTGCTTTAAACTTGGGAAAATTATCCCTTTGACAGTTCCAAACATATGTATCATTGGCTGATGCTATATTGTGTTCTCAAAGGGTAAATATAACCACATCATGATCACTGATACTTAGCCAGCAGCAGATTTTTAGGCTAGCAATTAACTTGTCTTCATCAGTAGAATGAGGCCCAGTATCAAGTGTCAGATGGTGTGCTGGATTCTGAACTTCCTGTGGTAAAGTTTTAAGGACTTCTTTTCTTGCTGTCTACATGAGAAATCCAGCCAGTGCTCTCCTCAGGGTGATGTAAGAACATAGAAGATGGCTGTCTAAATCTAGACTGAAGTTTCTGTATTTAAATGTCCTTTCTGGATTTAAGTTTCATCGCCTGAGCAGATACCAGAGAAATACCTCATACCGTTTCCTAGCAAGGCTTGGTGGTTCACAGCTGCACTTCACTCTGCAGGTTGTCCTTTGAGGCCCTGTGGTTCAGAATAGTCTGGCAGATAGGTCTTTCATGCATCCCCATCTCTTTTTCTCATTCTGCACTTACCAGACTAATGCCAGTTTTTCGTTTTTCTAGCATTCCCTTTATGCGATCTATCCCACAATTATCAGGGAGATAGTGATGGCATAAGGTTTTCCACATCATTAGTTGGTAGCCCCCAGAATGAAGTGGCTACATGTACACTGTGTCATCTATGAGACCTCTGTTTTTCGTTCACCAAAAATGGTATTTTTCTGTAGTATTTTCAATGTTGTATTACTCTGTGTGAGTAAAAGCCCATTCAGTGCATGACTTTTCCCTGGCAAACCTCTAATCTGATTTTTAAAAGTCAGTAATAAGAATACAGAGGGAAGTTGAGGCTTGCTATGTCTAATAAAGACACCAACTAATAAAGTTGTCACAGCCCATCTCTCCTGGATAGCCCTTACCGCAGACAACCTTCAGTTCATACTGGCCTGAACTGGTGCCATCACTGTAAAAAGCCCAACTGCCTGTCCCGTCAACGGGAGGGCTCCCTGCAGGTCCTCTTGGGTTACAGTCAAATTTGGACCCTTGTTTTTCCACCAGTCTAACCCTCGCATTTAGATTAAAAAATAAAAGTCTATATAAAAATACTGTAAGGAAAAAGAGGAGTTGGGAGGTAAGGTGTTTGCAGCAGAAGACATTGATACAGTTTTATCAAGATACGATCTTCATGCTACGTTTTTGTCATAGTGAAAAACAAGCTCACGTTTGGGTTATACCTTATGATACCAAAAATTTGATTAAAAAGAAGAAATTATGTTTTTGTCTTGATTAAATTTGTTATAAAAATCATGCAATAATGTGTTCAAATGAAATACTATTGCTCTGTTGCTTGATTGAAGTAAGACTAATTGTGGGCATAATTTTCATCACATTAACTGAAAATAATGGGTGGGGGAAGGAAGAAGAGAAGAGAAATTTGTAACAGAATTAACATTGCTGAACAACAGCTTGTCTCGACTAGAATGTGGAATCAGAGAGGAACTGGTCCATCTTTGTTCTTAATAAGCATTCAGTGTTTTCAACGTTTGTCTTTTCAGAACCAGATTTCTCTTATCTGGATGCCCTGGCTCCTTATCAACCTTTGGCGATGAAATGTGTTTACTGTCCCATTGACACAAGACTGAATTTTATTCAGGTGTCTAAGTTACTCAAAGAAGTCCAGGTAATGAATTTCTATTGTCTTTTCTTATGTTTCTTCACACACTTTAAATAAATAGGTTGATTGTGAACAACTGTTATGTTAAGAGCAAAATCAAGACAACACCCAGATTCCTTTTTATCATGAGAGAGCACACAGCACTGAGCTCTCCTTTATCATCCTGCTCCAAAATGAACACGGAATGACTGCCAATCTCTGCACAGAGTGGCTGGAAGATTCTTAAAAGCTTAAAGTGCAAGCATATGGCATGTACAATCCTTTCCTCCTTTTTAGGTGTATGTAGTCATAACCACTTTTTTCAGTTTGTGTAAATAAGCCTGGATCTGTCTAATACAGTCTTAATGTACAGGTACCAAGTGCTGAGTATCCTCAGCGCCCTCAGGTTTAAACAACTCCTCTGCTCTTTATCCTGGATTTGATACTTGCTTTGGTCCTGGCACTGCTGTTCTGGAGTTCAATTCTCACGTTTCTTCCAAATCCACTGCTTTCCTTACTCTATTTGCAAAATCCAGACGACTTCTGTCGAGGAAGAAGGGCAGAGCATTCATGTAGTCTCTGCTTTCCCCCTTTGACTCTTTTTGGCTTTAGGGGTCTCTCCTTGTCCATCCAATTTGTTTCTACTGAAATTTGCTTTCTGGCTCATTATGTAATTAAAATAATACCCTTTTTTTTCCTGGCTGAACTTTTCCCTTTGATCTATCTTCAACTTGTTGAACACAAAAATACATATTCTTCCAAACCTCTTAACAATGTCGGGATCATTTTATCTCATTGTTCTGTGACCTAGCTTGTCACCGCACAACGGATAGCAATTGCCATTGCCTGTTTTTCTGACAAGCGTCATCTTCCATGTTACTACTGAAGTATAACGCTGTTTCCAAAACAGTTTGCAGAAACGCTATCTTGTCCTTTGGCTTCCTTAAATCCTGCAGTGATCCTTGTGGCAGCCAGCCTGTTTGTGCTTTGTTAATATATTGCTGACAGGTCAGGAAGACTCAGAGTTGCTTATTTTGCTGATGTTTTTTCAGCCTTGCATACTGATACGTCTGCCTCACTCCATGTCATTTTGTGATAGTCTCCACCACTGCTGTCATTTGCTTCCAATTTAGATGACAAGGGTTTGGAAGAAAAAGCTGTTGAATATTCTTCCTTTTTCTCTCCTTATGGCAGCTAACGTGACTGCTGGTATTGAAGTAGTGATTAAAGACACAAATTTAGGCCCTGTTACTCTGGGCACTGTTGTGCACAAAGCAAAGACTGCCTTGAACAGTTTGTTCCAATACCGACTGGATCTTCTGGACTGCATCTTTTGCATGTTGTTTTCATACAAATAAATTAGCTTGCTAACAACAATCTGCAAACCTCCTTATGGCAATGATTACTGTTATGGGGCAGCGCACAGGAATAAACCAAACATTTTTGTAAGTCACAGTTCTTCTTTTCCAGCCTCTCCACGTAGTTTGCCCGGAGCAATACACTCAGCCACCACCCACCCAGTCTCACCGCACAGATCTGATGATAGACTGCCAGCCTCCGCCAATGTCCTACCGCAGAGCAGAGGTGCTGACTCTTCCCTACAAGCGGCGCTATGAGAAGATCGAAATCATGCCAGAAGTGAGTAACAAAAGTGAGGAAAAAGATGGTGGCTTCTTGCTCATACAGCCATATTCAAGCTACTGCTTCAGTAGCCTCTTTGACTAAAGATACCTTGTGGCTGTGATTTACTATTGATTATGATCATGTGAAGCACTTTCTATCAAATGGAGGGCTAAGAATGAAGCATTTCAGAGGGAGAATTTCGCTATGTAAACTAATAGGAATTGAAAAAAAACATTGTGGGCAAGCAAAAAATATGTTCAGGTTAATTGTCCTTCACAAGGGTAGATCGCATCCCAAAATATAGAACAAAAGGCAATCTCTGCTACCTGTGAGGCAAGCCAGTCATCTCCAGTTTAAGTATGAGTAAGTGGAGGCACTGCAGTTTGAATTAGTGGCCCAGGGTCATGGAAAGGATCCAGAGAATCTGGGCCTTAGTAGCCAGGAGTTGTCTTTCTCCTTCCCCAACTGTACCTGCTGTGAGAAATACCCTTTCCCTTGAGGAGCAGTATTCAGTCATATGTTAAAGGCATAGCAGTGAAATGGCTCATTTGTGTTACAACACTTATTGAATAAAAGGTTAATTCCTACAGACTGCTGAAGTCCAACAGGTTAATGGGTTGCTTCTGGCCATCTATATAGTGGACCAAATCTATATTGTGCCCACAACATCTATTAATAATTTATTAATGCCATAAATCAAATATTAATTTACCCATTGTACAAAGAGTGACCCGTATTCTAACAGACATGATCTTAAAATATTTTTTTGACAATCCAATCAGCACAAATGTATCCTTGGATCAGAGATGACAGTGGCTTTTTACACGCAGGTGTTATTGCCCTTTGGAAACTGTTAAGTATGTGAGTCTACTTTTCATCAGAGAGTACAGGGAGGAAGTACCCTTAGTTAAGCCAGACATGGAGTACAGAAGTGGTACCCATGTAATAAAAGCCCTCAGCCAGTCCACAACACCCATTCCTACCATTTCATGTGTGTCTACGTTGTGCATCAGTTCTGTTGGGAGCCTGCCCAGCCACCTAGGTAGAGGACTGCCAGAGACAAGGAGGGATTTTTTAGAAAATATACTTGCATGCAACTCCATTGTATATTTAATTGTTTTGGAAATTTGCATCTTTATTGGATCCTGTTAAACCTAACGCTAGTAAAACATGGCTTCTGCTCACCAGCATGACAAAAACAAATCTGAGTACAGAAAGCCAGCACACATCTTACCTGTTTTTTAGATTCCACTGAAGCTTTGGGTTTTCCCCTAAACCATGAGGGTGTAAGTGAGCCTTTGTATGTGAGCCTATCCCTGTGAAGAGGATGGATACCAGCTTTCCCTGCAAACAGAATGTAAATTAGCACAGATGCTACAGATGAATATTCACCAACCCACAGACATTTTGAAGTTCCTGTCAAGGGGGAGGGCTGTCTAAAAGGTAGCTAGGCAGGTCCATGGGAGTTGCAGGTTCAGTTTCTTGCTCTGTTGGAGTCTTCCTGTATGATCAGCACAAGTCTAAACCACAAAATGCAGCTCGCAGTAGAAAAGGGTAGCAAGAGGACACTGACTGCAGAGTTCCCTGGCAGAGCTTATTCGTCCAAATGCAGTGCCATGCTCACAGGGCTAGACTGCATCAGAAAACAAGTCAGTACTGCTCTTGTTAGCTTGGCTGTGGGCAGCAACATCCCTTTCACTTGAGGCTCCGTGGACCATGAGGATTCAGTCTCATTGGCAGCCACCAATTTGGAACTGCTCTCCATTTCTCAAACCCAGATCTCCAATGTTTTTTAGGTGAAGCAAATGGATTTTTCCTATACCTCTAGTTAAAAACAGTGCAGAGAAAGAAGAGCACTTCCCAAAACTGCTGGGATGTTGGAGGGAGCATGCACTGTACACAATGTGGTATTCACCAACCTGGGAATGGGTATCAAAGAAGCACGTAGAATCATAGAATCGTCAGGGTTGGAAAGACTTGAAGATCATCGAGTCCAACCATAAAGCTAATGTTGTGTGAAAGGGTGTCAAAGGCTTTACTAAAGTCCAGGTAAACAACATCCACAGCCTTTCCCTCATGCAGTAGGTGGGCCACCTTGTCATAGAAGGAGATCAGGATAGTCAAGCAGGACCTGCCTTTCATAAACCCATACTGACCCTGATCACCTAGAAAATGAGAGCCAATCTGTATTGCATTCACTTTAACTTGGAGAGTTTGAGCAGAAAGGTGCACAAACAGGAATATTGACAGAAATGGCTCTTTTTTTCCCCCCTCTAACAAACAACATCAAATTATATTCACACAGGAGTCCTAATTTCAAAGCCGTCTGTGCTCTGGGAGTAGAAGCATCCCATGTGATTTTCCTTGGTCCAGGTATTCTCCCTGCTTCCAAGGCCGTGATTACTAACTTACTGCCACAAACTATTTGACTTTCCTAAAAAGACTCCTAAGATGATATAAAAAATTAAGTAGAACAGACCATCTCCGAGACTCTCAGGAAAGCTGTTGTCCTTCCCCATTGTTGTCAGGGAGGTAGTGTTTGCTTGCGTCACAGGGTTCTTTGAGAGTTAGACCCATTAGTGCTTGCCTCTGAGAGCAAGGCTGTGATTCAGGGCTGTTAATAGGATGCCATTCCCCAGCACTGAGATATGCAAATCATCCTCAGAAAGAGATCTTGCTCATTCTTTTTAAGGGAACTTGCTAGAGAAATGACGATGGCAAATTTGTAGTGATCCCAGACTATCTCCCCAGTGCAATCTCTGTTTCAGCAGGTGTTCATCACATCACCATGTGCGGCTGGTTTTTGCTTCCAGCTTGACCTGCAGAGTGGTGCTAAGGCATGGGAAGGATGGTACATTTTTCCCACCCTTTCTGACTTTGGAGTTGGAGTCTTAGCAGCATAGCTGATAACTGCTGAGAAGTGTAACTAGGTAATCTCTCCTATTCTGTGTAACCTGTCACAACAGTCAATCCCAAAGAATCATTGTTTGGTTTTCAAATAAATGGGAGAAGGGGGAAAAGACTGTCTTTTTTCTGGGACCTGTATTTCCTTGGATGCTAACCCCCAAAATAAGCACGACGGTATCTCCCTACCTCCCTAATAATTTTTATGTGCTATCTGCATGACTTGCCTCATTCCCCCTCCCCAGCAGAAGAGCCCTGTCTGTCTGTCCCGTTGTGCAGAGGGATCATTAGGATGTTGGTTTTGAGAGGCAGATGCAAATGGCCTGCTGGCTTCAGGAGGTGTTTACGCAGTAGTGACCAAAAATGGCAGGAACTTCTCCTTCTGCTGGGTGGGTTCTGCAAGAAGGATTGCAAATATGATAGATGAGGCTCCCTGGTAGAGAATATTTACTGGTTAATGTCCCCTTTTCAGTAGTTTCATCCAGGAAGATGGTACCTAAATATATAGCAATTTCTATACTGCAAGGAAAGGGCATTTGTTTCATATGAACTGCCACCAGGTTTGGGGTTCTGTGAAGGCTCAAGTGGCACTTAGAAAGGCTATTTTATAGCTCCTAGCAAACGTTGCAAAGGCTTGTTATTTGTCAAAGCCACGTTAGGCAAAAATGCAACGATGAAATCCTGGGGAAAAAAGGTAATTGCTAGATCTGCTCCAGAGCTAAGACTTGAGTCTAAAGTAGCTAAAAGTCTCATAAAAGAATGTCTGCTTCAATGAAGTCCTGATCAGGGCCCTCTCCTAACATCCCCAGCCCTTTCTCAGAAATGGACACGCGCTCAAATTTCTGTCTGGATTCTTAAAGCTTTTGAAAACCAAACAGTTGGCTCAGCATGGTTTCAGTCAATGCAGACTGATGGGTATGGTAGTGTGAAATTTCCTTTCCAAAACTGTTTCAGATTCTGGCTTGTCAGACTAATGTAAATTTACTGATACTGCTGGAGCTTGTCTACATTTCAATCACTTCACCAAAGAGCAAAGTCAGGTCAAGCAGGACTTTGTATGTTAATGAGATTTACACTCAGAGCAGCCTTTGTTTAGAGAGAGGTTTTAACAGTCCCAAGGCACCAGGCTGGAATGGCTCTCAGAGGTATTGTGGAAACCTTTACACTTGAACTAATTTGTTCTTCTCGGCATCTGCTTTTGACTTTAAAAAATAATAAAAAAGACTGCTTCCTGGAAATTGGTTAGGCATTGTCTATTCATAGGAGTACGATGGGAAAATGGAAAACACCTTCTGGAGCAAACAGATAAATTAAACACTAGTGTTTGAGCAAATAATGTGCCTCCAGTTTAATTACAGCTGAACAATGGTGCGGATCACTTGATTTCAGCAGCAGACTGACTTCAGTGAGGGCTCTGTGTTTTAAAAATACTCTGTTTGCAAGTTCTTCAGGACACAGGCCAGTACAGGAGAGTGTGAATGTGCCATGCACAGCCCGACATGAAGTGAAATTAGAAGGAACTATTGCAGAGAAGAATTAGGAAAACAGCCACTTGGCAGCCCATTATAATGATGTACTTTCACTCCACCCTCCCCTTTTCTTATTTTGACTTTTCTTTCCACAGAGGATCTTGCCAAGTCCTTTTTGAGAGAAAGAAAGGCAAAGCATGACTTTCATCTTACGTCTCCAACCTCCTTCCATTTTTTAGGGACTAAAGAGTTTGATTTCTGTCTTTCTTCTAACCCTTGACTATTTTGGTGACCCCCACATTATCCAATCTCCTGCCCTCTCCATTCCTTTTCTCCCTGATTATTCCCCCTTGTATAAAGATACCATAGCCTCACTTACCAGAAAGTAAATGAAATATAACCATCCTGCTTGCTTCTGCTACTATCATTCCTCCCTTCATCTCCAAGCTCACTGAATCCACGGTCTGTAAAATTGCCTGGAGTCCCTTCCTCATTCTAGCACAGGCCCTCTCCGAGTTTGACTTCACCTTTTGACATTACATCAAAACTAGTCTTACCAACCATTTCTTAGACAAAGCCAGAACTACTGTAGTCGGCTGTCTTCCTGATTTATGCCGTCGCTATTCAATGCAATCAGCCATTCCTTTCTTCTTAATCATGTCTCCCACCTCACCCCCATGCCTCTTCTCTCCTGGCCATTCAGCCTCCCATTGCTTCTGCAGAGAATTT